GTTTACGAGTAATATGCAAAAAACTGTTTTTTCGTTTTTCGTTAATAACTCGTAAACTATTGACGCTAGCACAAAAGTTTTATACAGAAATTATAGATCTCGTCGTCCTCTACAAAAAAGGTCGTATGCAATTTTCTCGTAGGACCAACGGTTTAGAAGTTATTGAAGAAAAACGAAATTTTTTTCCAAAAGTTCGCCATTTCGACGGTGGGATGGTCGGATTTCGTCAATATCAATAAAATGCCATATAATCATATGTAACTCATTAAATATCGAAATTAGAAGAAGAATGCACTATTTTTAATTACCGGAAATGCGTTTTTCTAAGGTACATAAACTTTTGGGATTGACTGTATAGCCAATACATCCTTATATCACGTAATCGCGTATGAAATCTGGCGATCTTTATAATATGCAGTCGCTGCAGTACGAGATATTTTATATCAATGAGTGAGTCATATCTGAAACTGGTACGAAACGAGGTCATCGGGGCGCAGCCACCCTACTAGCTTCTATCCCCCAGGTGATACCGTTTCCATTCGGTACGTGCGCGGTCGTTATTGCCTTTCGTAGAGAACGGCCACGCGTCCAGCCATCCTCTAGGATTCCATTAATTGGATCCGGAGTCGAGTTACGGGTTTCCGTGCCGCGATGCTGAATCAGAACAGTAGTAAGTAGCGCGTGTATAACATATACGTCGAGAACGATATGGTTTCACTGGTTCCCGATCCGTGAAGTCTNGTTTACGAGTAATATGCAAAAAACTGTTTTTTCGTTTTTCGTTAATAACTCGTAAACTATTGACGCTAGCACAAAAGTTTTATACAGAAATTATAGATCTCGTCGTCCTCTACAAAAAAGGTCGTATGCAATTTTCTCGTAGGACCAACGGTTTAGAAGTTATTGAAGAAAAACGAAATTTTTTTCCAAAAGTTCGCCATTTCGACGGTGGGATGGTCGGATTTCGTCAATATCAATAAAATGCCATATAATCATATGTAACTCATTAAATATCGAAATTAGAAGAAGAATGCACTATTTTTAATTACCGGAAATGCGTTTTTCTAAGGTACATAAACTTTTGGGATTGACTGTATAGCCAATACATCCTTATATCACGTAATCGCGTATGAAATCTGGCGATCTTTATAATATGCAGTCGCTGCAGTACGAGATATTTTATATCAATGAGTGAGTCATATCTGAAACTGGTACGAAACGAGGTCATCGGGGCGCAGCCACCCTACTAGCTTCTATCCCCCAGGTGATACCGTTTCCATTCGGTACGTGCGCGGTCGTTATTGCCTTTCGTAGAGAACGGCCACGCGTCCAGCCATCCTCTAGGATTCCATTAATTGGATCCGGAGTCGAGTTACGGGTTTCCGTGCCGCGATGCTGAATCAGAACAGTAGTAAGTAGCGCGTGTATAACATATACGTCGAGAACGATATGGTTTCACTGGTTCCCGATCCGTGAAGTCTAACGTTTCAGGCGTCAAACAAAGAAGTCACGTTTGATTCGATAATTATTATTTACGTTAATTAAATATCTTAAAGCTGTTCGACGTTTATCTTAGAGACTTGGTTTAGAAGCGTTTATCTTAGAAACATTATCGTAGTTTATCGAACGTGGGTGCAGTGTCCGTTCGCCCTTTGCGATTCACAAATTCTCTGCCGACTTTCTCGGGGGCAAGGTCCTTTTCAGCTTGTCTCCGACGCGACGGTTCGCCGCAGTCTCGCGGTTTTATCGAACAGGACGTCCCCCTTCGTCGCTGCGGGGCCGCGTCGGTTTCTCGATAAAAGGGAGCTCGGTTTCAGGGAAAAGGTGCTCGTCACCTTCGGTTGCCTCCCTCGAGTACGAACTCGGTGCCGCGGTTACGATTTCCTGACCGAGGCCAGATCTTACTTCAAACTTCAAATCCCAACCCTTTGAACCGAGAGATCTCGAAAATCCAACAGAATCTCTCGTACTCGAGTAATCTCGAGGCATATTTAGAAGCGTAATAACCGTAATCTGCATACACGACGTAAGTGTCTGGAGATTCCAACGAAAGGGAAGCATCGGGAGAGAATGATGAGAGGAAATCACGAGACACGGCGTAGACGATGCATCATTCTCCTCGGTTGGCTTTATTTCCCGAATTCCGGCAGTGGTACGGGGAAAAACGCGACCACGATGGGGAGGCGGGGGTGGTAGCGGTTCTGGCTCGAAGAAAAACGGAAGGGAATCTCCTGTAAGCTCTCGGCTGAATCCATTAGCCGACGCCATTAATATCCCCGTAATGATGAGCGATGAGCCAACGCGAGCAAGGAAGAGGACCTCCTAAGTGCGTCGACAAAGAGCAACTTATGTGCACGCGCGATCTTCTATCGGAGGCGAAACCCTTTGATAAATGCCGGTTCCCTTGGATCGCAGCCAGGCAACGCGTACCACGATATCAGTCCATCCACCCGCTTTCGTATTAAAGACCTATCAGCGTGCTATCGCTGGATCTTATCAATTACCGATGAGCTCCGCGTTATTTACATACTTGGTTTCTTATTCTACTTGCAAAAGCGTTTAGATTTATCGATAGAAAAAGATTGTTGAATCTCGTTGAGACTTTGCCAACTTACTGAATATCCGAGCATGCATAATGCGAGGGTGGCGAGCTATCGATACGCGTTAAACCGGCGCGGTGCACCCCTTTGAATCCTACCGGCATCCCTTTCCAGACGCGTCTCGATACCTAAATGAGTCTCGGGGTGTTCACAATGCGCTCACGTCGATCGATCGAGCGAGCGACAATGGGTACGGAACCGGCTCCGGATGTTTCTCCATCCTCCGCCCGGCCGCCACGTGGAAATCTTTTTTACTCGCGCGAAAGTCACTTTCCCTTTTCATTGTCGCACCGCGCCGTAGAAAAACCAGCCAACGCCCGTCCAAACCGCGGAGGACGCATCTCGCAAATATTATTGGAACGTGAAATGCATTTACGATCTCAGCTCGCGGGATCTGCGTGCTATTAAGAATGCAAGCCAAGTAAAATATGTTAATAATTTTCTGATTTGTTTCTGTTTCAGATGATCGACGCGTCGTATCACACGAATCCGTCGCTTCAGAGCACCGCGTTGATCATCACTTGCGCCGTGGTTCTTCTACTGACAGCAGCAATCATGTCCGTCGTCTTCTGGAAGTGAGTAAAAATTCTCTGCTCATCCTTACTCTGAGCTTCCTTTACATTCGACTTCATTCGATTCTGATTTGCAACCCGGAAAGACAACTTCTCCGACGTTCCTGCGCGCATTTATTTACAAAGTATTCAGCAAAGTAGATTCTGAACGTGAAACGGTTCACGGCCAGCAGTAAAGAGCGAGTTTCATTCCGGGCGAGTGTCATAAGGTGTTCGAGGGTTCGGGCTGTAATCATATTTCAAGGGTTCGAGCGGTGCCATCCGCGGTGCGAAAGTAGAAAGAGCAAGAGGGCAATGGCGGACAGAACGGAGGGAAGACGCCTCATTGGCGTCGGTTCAGTTTCCAATGAATTAACTCGAAACAGTCAGTTCGGTAACAACCGACGTTCCTCCTCTTTCATATTCCTCAGCTGAGAACAGACCGAACTTAGAAATGTCTGGCAAAAAGGCAATGACTATTATAATTCCGCGTAAGAAGCGAACGATAGCACGATCGATGAACTCTGGCCGAGGGGGTCGGCAGCGGGCCAAGACGATTTTGGATCGCTACATAGAGGCCGGCATTCAGGATCCGCCGCTTGGATATATTTTTATCGGTACAAACCTCTCGAAGGTCCACTCGTCGCGACAATGCAGCTACTGTATTTCATCCTGCCGTTATCGTAACGCGCGTTCATTATCGCATAATGCTCTTGTCGATACATCTCGAGCGTCACCAGTTGGTATTCGCGATTTTATCTCACTTCTATTCTCAATGAATCAACCAACTATCTGTGAAACCCCTCGACGGCGTCGTTTTTATAGAATTTCTCGTTGCACAAGTTTTTATCGCGCCTGGCAAACATGGATAATTTGTTTCCACGGGATTCGACGGCGTTCGCACAAGTGGGTCTCTGTTGTAACCCGTTTTTTCGGTTTATCGTAATAGCCTGACCATTATCGTGGCCCGCAACCAGTGTGGTATCTCAAGTGTTGCCCACTACGAGTCGTCGAGGACTTCGTAGGTGGTATCCCATTCTTTCTTGTTCCCTCGTCTCCGTTTGACGGCAAACGTGCCCTCTCGCCTTCCCACGATTCCATTTGCAATCGCAAATATTTATAACATGCCCCCCGCAATTAAATTGTATTAATTATTAAAAATAAATAAAATAAAAAGCGTATTAATTAATCAGGAATCATTTTATTTCGATTAAATCTGTCCGGCCGATATGAAAACAAAGTCTTGCGTAATGCAGTGGGTCACGCGTGGCTTTTAATCACGACCTCGGATAATAATCGACGCACCACGACGCGTGAGCCTGGAAACGGTCGGCTCTCGTGTCCCGAGCAAACGCCGCAGAACCGACACGGTCGCCGCGTAGTTTGTATGCTAATCAGAGCCGTGTTCCCTTCGCCCATCCTCGCGATACACCGTTCCTTTTCCCTGTCCCCTCCCACCGTCGCATGCTATTTCCCGCACGACCCGTCGCGTCGTCGTCGCCGTCGTTTCGATTCGCGATAATTCCAACCTGTAAGTCTTAACAAATTGCCAACCGGTGTAACAAACTCGCGACACGGATTGAAATTGGAATTCGGAAATTATTTAATCATTCTACAAATAGAATCCGTCTGGTCTTATTCGACGTTAAATTGGATCTGTGAATAAGGCGAACTTGAATCGAACAAGTATCCAGCGATAACAAGATATCGTTATTCGCGTTGTATTATAGTAGGTAGATCGGTAATATGAGAAGCGAGCTGCTCGTTAAAGGAGGAGGCAACCCCCTGGAACGTCCATGTCGTTGACCGAGCCCACCCCTGTGTATCGGTCCTCGACGACGCGACGCTCCGGGATATCGATACTGGCAACAGTCCCTTTTTCTCCCGTTTATTTTCCTTATCCACGGTGGAAGAGAAACGGCGGCGGAGCTTTAAAATCTGAAAGAAATGCTTCCGTCGAAGCCCGGCCGAAAGGGATCCCGCAGCCTTTATTTAACCGGCACCCTTGCTTAGCCGCACGAGGGCAATACCTCTTCGCCTAATCTAACCTATATTTTTCGGCGCTTCGCCCGACGGCCGGCCGACTATCGGCAGCCTTTTCTGCGGTAACTATCCCTTACCGAACGAAACTGCGTCTAGACAGAGCGCTGAATGCCCCGTGAAAATCCTTGCGAAACCGCGCGGCTGTCTGGAGAAAAATATCGCGGAATGCTACCGCTGTTACGAATTGCAAGACGGCGAAATCGCTTTGAAACGATCTCGTAGAAAAATGTTCAAACGGAGAACAATAGAACCGTCTCGTGTCAGAGGAGTTGGTCGACTCTCGTAAAATTGATTTCTCGCCGATGTACAAACAGGTGACTAATGCCGATTCAATGATCGATGTAATCGTGTCCAGTTTCTTGCGGAACGGAAACTATGCTCGTTAATCCGAATCTTCGATTCAGCGGGCAGAAATTGCACGCGTCGCAATAACGATAAACATCGGCGGGAATATTCCGCGGGACGAATTATAGGGGGTAGCCACGGCAACAATTTCAGGAGGGAAGAAAAAAAGAAAGATGGTCGGACGATATTTTCCAGTTTCACGGGGTGGATGGCGTTACTTACGTTCCACTTGCTGTGGCACAGATTCGAGACGATGTAAACGGGAAACAGGGAATTGCGAGTGGGTGGGCCGGCCCTCCCTCTTTCTCTCAACCCTTCCCTCTTATTTCTCTGCACCTTTCTGGCCCGCACTTTGTCTCCGCAAGCCGCATTCGGGTCACCGGCGGCGCGAGCCGAGCCGAGGGGGGATACTTTAACGATCTGCATTGCATGAGCACTTCGGTCCCGCGCTTCGCCCCGACAGTCCTCGGTGCTGTTTGTTTCGCCGGCGAGAAACTCTTCTCGTCCCTTCTCCTTGTTCTTGCCCCCTCCGGCGTTGTCACAGTTTCGGGTTGTACACGATGCCTGACAAACAAGCCCCGGTTATTTCGTATAGCAAACAAGCGGTTACCGAATCCCGCTTTCCGTTTCCCGGTTCCGGTACCCGCGGCCGCTCGTTTATTCCACGGAAATCCGATTACCCCGTCGCGTACCAGAAATAGAAGCGATAGTACACAAATTTCCCTCGACTCGTCAACCAAACCTTTTCCTCGCGGCACGAACACGAGTTCCATTCGATTCCTCGTTACCAAGTCGACGGAACGGAATTGAAATTGCACCATGCGTCGGAGAGATTTAATCCCCGGTATTCGGATTTCTTTTAGCCCCGTTCTTGTAATATCCGTGAGTGCATCCCGCGATTTTCTTGCACGTGCCCTTCTTACCAATGTCTCCGGCAAAGCCGCAATGCCGAGAGCGAGACGCGAGGAGGTGGATGACGGAGAGTTTCGTAATGCACGTTCGCGAGACTCTGCCGTACGCGCGCCATTAACGAGCAAATGACGATGCATCATGGAACGTAAGTGCCGAGGCCTAGACATCACTTTACATAATTGCTAACTATCGCGGTTTACGCGGATCCTATTGTCTCCTCGTATCGATTTATGAAAAACGAACGTTCCGTCTAAGAATAAACGTAAGATCCTACAAAGTGTACTTCTTGTCAAAGAAAGACGGTCGCTCGAGTAATTGAAACAGGAAATCTATAGAAAACGATAATCGAGGAGAGAGAAAAATCCCGTTTGTTCTCGTGCTTAACCAAGAATTACTCCGCGTCCGTACTTCGCCCGTTCCTCCCAGCACTTTCCCTGGATTTTTCACTTTTGTTTTGGAACGTAATCAACGATCCATTGTGAGACTGCCCGCGGGGCCATTAGACGATCCCGGGTGCATCTGGGATATGCATACGCGTAGTAACGCTTGCATCGCTTGATAATTTCGGAGCCAGGGTTCGCGCCGCCACCGTTCCCCGTACGGTGAATCACGGGCGTTGTTTCCACGGAGGGGAAACGGCGGTCTATGGGTAATTTAACCCGTGCCAGAACCTGAATGGGTTATAATTGGTGATGACAGCCCGTCAGGAGTGGAGCCAGCATTCAACGCGACGAGAGTGTCGCGCCCTCGAGGATGGGCGACGTCCCAGACGTCCCAGACACTCGACGGATTTCTATCTCTCCGCGCCCGCGTGTGGGTGACACTCGATTCGAACCGGGTGCCATGCCGCGGAAGTCGCGACCCTTCAATCCTTAGACCTTTCATTGGTTACACTTGCGAATTAACATATGTACATAAGTCGTAACAGATATTTCACAGCCTCGTGTTTCAGTAGAAATGTTTAACGTCGAATTCGTTCGATCGTATTCAGAGCGTGCACTTTGCTACAAACATACCCAACGTGCTCTTATATAACCGCAATTGATTACAAATTAACGTAGCAGGTTGCAATGGCCTTTTGCCCATATTATTTATTTTATTTTGCGGGCTGAGGTTTTATGTATCTACGATATTGAAATGGTTTCACCTGAAATTTTCATTTTCAGAGTGTATTATAATTGGAAACAGACTCCGAACGGGGGTTCAATTAACGGGAGCTGGTTTTACCCAGCCACGGATCTTATTCCCGGAATGATGCGCCTCGTATAATAGCAGCTGCACTATCCCCCTTCGCCCGGTTCCCTTTGTAACTGTAGCTACACGAATGCCTTCCGCGGTGGTTACGCACCTAGACATAATTCCATTCTCGCATTGATATATCCGTGAATAGAAGCGGGAGGAGCCAGCAGCGTCTCTCAAATCTCACCACTTGTCCTACGTCGTCGTATCAAAAACATTATATTTAATCGCTTCGGTCTTCTGACGTACAATAAATTACGGAATTCACAAAATAAATGTATAATGATAAAGTAGATTATTTCTTGATAGTATAATGTTTTCATAAAGCTATTACGCCATATTTGATAACGTGATTTTAATTGAAAATAAAAAGCACATGGAAAATCAAAAATTAGTATAATATAATTGACAGGACAGTCTCGATAAGAAATGGGGAATCAAAATTTCAGAATCAGGGATTGCGAGGTGAGGATCCCTGAACCATC